TGAATAGTAAGTAGTCAGTGATCTATCAGTTTATGAGAATTCCATTTATCAATTCTGAACCTTTGACCCCTTGAAATCTCAGTATATCAATATACCTTTACAGTTTGTATGCATATATCTGAAATCATTTTTTAGACCCATTGAACTTTGAGGTTTTAAAACCTGAGACTTTATATACTTTAAGACATTTTCTTAGACCAGAAATTATACATTGTTTGGACTTAAATCATCTACCAGAGACACAAGTAATTCTTATTGCGAATAGTCATTGTAAAGCATGTTTATTTAGTGGAAATTTATACCCATAAACTGTTTTTCTTTTAATATGAAGGCTGTAAACAAGGCGTACCTGTTTGCCTTTAATAAGAGATCTAGTAGCTTTAACTAGTGGACTGACTAATGGACATTAGTCATTGGGTGGCTGTAGCCTGGGGGAAAGGAGCTGATTTTCTGCTGTTGCCTAGCTGCCAGAGCTACAGCTAGCTTAGCTATCAATGTGACCAGAGACTTGAGAAGGATTAACTAAAATGATAGAAACTAGTCCATAATCCTTTACCTAGACAGTTTATCCCAGGCTCCTCTGGTCTCCACGGCATTGGGTGCATGGGTACCATGGCAGCAGCCTTGGTTGCCAGGTGGAGATGAAGAGAGGCTTATCTGTGGAGGAGGAGGAGGGACTGACCTTACTTTGTTTAGGCAAAGTGAGGCAATCAACTCTCCAGTGTCCTGTTTATCCACAGTTTGGGCCGGTCATTGGCAGCAAGTGAGGCAGTGGGGTAGTCTTGCCCAATGGTTAGCATTACCATATTCCACATGTAGTTGTCTGTCACCACGCCCATTTTCTTCTTGTCAACCTTGAGGGTCACTGCTAGGATCTGGGAGTCTCTGTCTTTCATAAGTTTAAATACATTAAATACCATATTCAGCAAATATCTGACAGTTTGATATTCTGTATAGTTCTGAAAATCACAAGGCTCAATCACCTTTAACAGTTTAAAATAAAAATTAAAATTTCTGAATTGAAGCTCTTTCAGTATCAAGTTAAGACTTATAAACATAGTGTCCAAAGAAACTGGGAACTTTTCTGATCTATTATAAAACATAACAGTTCACTGTATGACTCAATTTATGAAAACAGCTAGAGCTTAACAATACTAGCAAAAACCAAAGAGGTTAGACATATATCTTTAAATCAGTCTGTTAGCTTGAATAGACCTAAGTAAGGAGAGACATTATTTAAGCCAGTGGTTCTAAGTCTTCTTGTCAGACTGCTTAGGTCACCATCTCACTATATCATAAGACAGGAGTACCTCCGTCTCTGGTGCTTACCTATAGCCCTAATTTTTAGCCTTTTATTTACTATTTATCAGTATCATATATTAACAATGACATTACAATAAAGTATCTTAAAAATTGAAAAAGAATGTCCTTTAGCCATATAAACTTAAAGGTTTTTAAAAGATTTTAAAAAAAATAATGTAGGTTTTTTTTCTGTGAAACTCTAAAATCTCCTTTTAAACAAGTTTAAAATCTCTCAAATGTGTATTTTTATGACAGCAAAATAAAATATCCTTTTTATTTCAAGAATGAATACATAGAGTACAACAATAATTTGTAGAAGACAAAACACATTTTTAACAGCATATATAATCCAGTATCTTTAAAATCAATACCAAGTGGATTATTCTTACGTTATAAGACTTAGCTGCCAGCAATATATATTCTTGTATATGAATGAAATGAGGTGCAGTTTAATACCTCATGAAGCAAACATTCTTTTAAATTCTATCTTTTTTTTAAGACAGGACAAGAATTATACAAGAAACTTAACCTAATTTGAAATATAAGCCTATATAAGTCTGAACTCCCACCAGCAATAGATGAATATTCCCCTTATTCATCATCCATCAGCATGAGCTGCCCTTTATTTTATTGGCCATCATGACTACTGTAAGATAAAGTCTCAAAATAGTTTTGGTTTGCATTTCTCTGATGGTTAAGGATGTTGAACATTTCTTTAAGTGCTTCTCAGAAATTTGATTTTTCCTCTACGTAGAATTCTTTGTTTAGATTTGTACCTTATTTTTTAATTAGAGCATTTACTTTATTAATATCCAATTTTTTAGTTTTTTTTTTTTGTTTTTTTGAGACAGGGTTTCTCTGTGTAGCTTTGTACTTTTCCTGGAACTCACTTTGTAAACCAGGCTGGCCTTGGCGTCACAGAGATCTGCCTGCCTTGCCTCCCAAGTGTTGGGATTAAAGGCATGTGCCACCACCACCACCCCGCAATTTTTTAGTTCTCTATATATTTTGGATATTAGCCTTATATAGAAATTTTTTCATTCTATTACCTTCTACTTTATACCAAAAAAAAGTGATGGTGTCTTTTGTCATGCAATTGCTTTTTGGTTTCACAAGGTCACATTTATGAATAGTTGATCTTAGTGCCTGTGCTAATGATGTTCTCTTAATAAAGCCTTTTCCCGATCTAATGAATTCAAAGCTATTCCTCACTTCCTCACATCTTTCTATTGCATTCAGCATATCTGGTTTTATGTTGAGGTCTTTGATCAATTTGGAGTCGAATTTCAGGTAGGAAGATAAGTATTGATTTATTTGGATTCTTCTACATGCAAGCAAATCATTGACAAGCCCCATTTGTTGAAAATAATTTCATTTTTCTAGAATGTATTTCTGGCTTCGTTTTCAAAAATCAGGTGTCAATAGGCTTGGGAATTTCTGTTTTTTTGGTTTTTTTTCTTAACCTCTATTCCATTGATAGACATGACTTTTTATTTTTTATTTTTTTGTGCCAATGTCAAGTTGTTTTTATTACTATAGCTCTTAATACCATTTGAGGTCAGGAGTGGTAAAGTAAAATGACAATGAAAATAGAAAATAATCTTAAAAATTCATTATTTTCTAATGTTTTACTGTGACTATGTTATCGACTGTATTCAGTAAAACAACTGTTAAAAATAACAATATTGTAACACTCAGAGTTAATTAAAATATTTTATTGCCTAGAAAAGGATTCAATCATTTGAAAAGATTTCAATTAAGAAGGGTGTAGATGTAACCAACCATCTTATTAAATAAGAAACACAGAACCAATGCAAAGAAGAAAGCCAAGAGGTCAGAGCTAAGAGCTCAAATCCTTACCCTTCCTCTCATGGTGGTCCTACCTCTCTGAAAGAGAGCTACTTCCTGTGTTTTTGTCTTTATAAAGACTTTCTGTTCTGCCTTCTCATTGGTTGAAAACCTAACCACATGAACGCCTCGTCACTGCCTGTCCGTACAGACCTCCAGGTCTTTTATGGTTGGTATTAAGATTAAAGGTGTGTGTCTCCAATGCTGGCTGTATCCTTGAACACAAAGAGATCTACCTAGCTCTGCCTACCAACTGCTGGGATTAAAGGCGTGCACCACCACCGCCCAGCTTTCCTATGGCTTGCTAATAGCTCTGAAACCCGGGCAACTTTATTTATTAACATACAAATCACATTTTAGTACAAATAAAATATCACCATAGAAGGGTTCTTGATTACTCATTGCATCTAATCTAATGACAGGAGTTCTTTATTTTATATATGTGTGTACATGTTTATGTATGTGTGCACACATGTGAGCTATGAGTAGAGAAAAGTGATTGACTTTGAATGTCTTCCTTATTAATTCTCTACCTTCTTTTTGGACAGAGTATCTCCTTGAACACAGGCTTCATGAACTGGACCCTTCATCTTAGCCACTCAACTAAGAGATCCTCATTTCTACCTCACATTGCCAGTTCCACACTTCCCATTTCCCTGCTTCCTTTTAATAAAAACCTTGTAGATACAAGCTCAGGTCTTCATTTTATCAGATAAACCAGCCTTATTCCCTTCGTGATGAGTTTGCAGGAGCATAGATAGCACATTTCTGGGTTTCAGAGGACTTTTGATTCTAGAGAGTAGGGTGTTAGGAGATGAGAACTGATGAGGAATTCTAGAATTTGCAATAGATAGCCAGATGATTTCAGGAGGAATTCTCCTTTGTCATCCCTTTGAGTAATAGATAAAGAGCAATATGACACTCAACAGCATTTTTATTTATAAAGAAAGAAAAACTTTGAGGCATGTTAATTAAATAATGTTTCTGTTGGGGTGGCTGTTATTTTTTCAGTTTGTTTGATAGAGGATTTTGCTATGTAGCTTAGACTATCCTGGTACTGCCTGGCCTACTTGTCTCAGTCTCCCATTTACTGGTATTACAGGTAAAAACTACTAAGCTTAGATAAGGCTTTATAATTACAGTTGTAAAATAGTTCTTTTTGTCACTGAGATGGAAACAAAGTTATTTTGTCCTCAAAACACTATTTCAAAAGCACACCATTCTTTCTTTACAATGAAGTTATTTTTCAAGAGAATTGAATGAAACAAATTTGTAACTGTCAATATGGATTTTCTTTTTATTAAAGAAGTCCATTTAAAGAGTTCTATCAAGAGGGTTAGCATAATAAAATGCTAATTAATGTTTATTATTGTGAATGTGTTTAATAAGTCAAGACAAGCATAATTTCAAAATACTTAAATTTCAAAATGCACAACTAAAATAATGGACTAAAGTGGAGGCTAGATATAGCAAATCATCAGTGGACCTGAACCAGAAAAATTTTATTCCCCATTAATGTACTATACAATATATACATTCTGCAGGGATCAATTATAATAATTATTTAGTACAAAATTACACATGTTCACAAAATTGTGTGTTTATAATCAGTCATCAAGTATTAATCACTTCATTTTCCTCTGAATTTCATCAAACTACACTTTGCCAAGGAATTCTCCTCTGTACTGTCTTCTCAAAGGAAATTCAACCAAGAGATTCACGGAATTTAAATGGATGTTTCTTTAGCCCAACAAAGAAAAGCAAAGGCAAGTGAGTCCAGACAAAGACTGCAGCATCTGACAAGGAGTGTGCCAGTTCTTCGGCTTCTACATCATGGATTTTAAAAGTACTTTGTCTACTATAAATAGTGCTGCTATGTACATAGTTGAGCATGTGTCTTTGTGGTATGATTGAGCATTCATTGGGTATATGCCCAAGAGTGGTCTGGCTGGGTCTTGATGTAGATCGATTGATTCCCAATTTTCTGAGAAACCGCCATACTGATTTCCACAGTGGTTGTACAAGTTTTCACTCCCACCAACAGTGGAGGAGTGTTCCCTTTGCTCCTCATCCTCTCCAACATTGACTGTCATTAGTGTTTTTGATCTTAGCCATTCTGACAGGTGTAAGGTGGTATCTCAGAGTCATTTTGATTTGCATTTTCTATGATGATTAAGGATTTTGAGCATTTCTTTAAATGTCTTTCAGCCATTTGTGATTCTTCTTTTGAGAATTCTCTGTTTAGCTCTTTCACCCATTTTTAATTGGATTGTTCAGTATTTTTATGTCTAGTTTCTTGAGTTCTTTAAAACTTTGGAGATCAGTCCTCTGTCAGTTGTGGGGTTGAAGAAGATCTTTTCCCATTCTGTAGGCTGTCTTTTTGTCTTATTGACCGTGTCTTGTAACCTAAACCCAGAAGAACAAACATGGTATGTACTCACTCATAAGTGGATTCTAGTTATAAAACAAAGAACAATCAGACTGCAACCCACAGAACCAGGGAGGCTATATATCAGGGTGGACCCTAAGATGACTGTGGCTTATAAGAAGTTTTGGTCTTACTCAATTACTGGGCAAGCCTCAATCAAACATTTCACTATTGGGATAAGAAGTTATATTGTATCAAGCTGACAATAGAAATAAACAAACAAACAAACAAACAAATAAGTACTTTGTCTCTCCCTTCTTTTGCTACACCATTATTTACTTCCTCCCCTTGAGTACCTAATTTCTTTCATCCTACTCTTCAGTGCAAGGCTAATCCTCTTTTTGTTATTGTTGTTGTTTTGCTTGATGCTGTTGTGTTTTCTTTCTTGTTTGCTTATAATAATGATCTGTAGTGAGATGTATCATCTATAGTCTTCGTGAAAACATCCTGAAGTGGCAGGAAGAACTTAGCGGTAGCTTTACAAACGTTCATCTAACAGTCAGGAACAGAATGTAGGGTACAGCCTTACTTCCCATAGTTAGCCATGGCTAACTCCCTGCCACCTTGCCAGTATGTATTTAAGACAATCATGTATTTACTTTATAAAATATATCCTTGCATCCTATATGTGTCAAGTACTCTGTTAGCCACAGATCAGTGATTATTATAACAAAAATGCAAACCTTTGGTTCATGGTAATTGCTGTCTGATGAAGTACTTAAAGATATCATTAAAAATTAAGTCCATTGAAGAAGGAGGTGTATTTTTTTCCTTAGAGATTCCAATTAAAATGTGATACCTCTGACTTAGGCAACACAATTCTTTCACATCAGTAATAAAGATATTCCCTGAGTCTGAAATCTAAGGACATCATCAATTAGGAGAAATTTATAATGTCACACAATCATAATGTATAATGTCCCACAATCATGTGAAGCTCATAGGATAATAGTGGTATCCTGGCAAAAATGACATTGGACAATGGCATCTCATGACTAATTCAACATTACAAGTTAGTACTGCTTTTGTATTATAGGGAGAAAATAATTTTACTTTTAGAAAATATCTAGTGAAAGGTGTTGTGGTTTAGTTCTACCTGCTCATCATATAGAAGTTTGATGAAAGTAAATAAAAGGCAGCCTACGACTTATAGAACTGATACCTAAATTTGGACCAAATACAATAGAGCAAATAAAGAGTCATACAAAGGGCATACTTTTTCTAAAGTTTGGGAAATGTGTGATGCTTTCCTAAGTTAAATTTCACACAATTGCATCAATCTGCTTGCTTGTTTATTTTCTGACTTGGGAATGTCATAGTAAATATTTGAAGTAGCAACTGTGGTAATGGGAGAATCTGAAACAGAAGGCTCAACGGATTGATTTTGTCTGAAAGTACCAGTACGAACAGAAGTTATAATATGTCCTCTACAAATAAGGCTTTATTAGCAAAGGAAAATACTGTGGTACATGAGGTGTATTTTGGTGTCAAAGTTCCCATATAATGATGTATTCCTGTTTGTTTTCTATGCTTTGCTTAGCATTGAAAAGACAAAAGGAGTCTCATTATGCACATGGCTGAGCTTTTGTAACTGGGAACTGGAACTGGAGGTTCCCCCTAATTATGTTGAACCTGAAACACATCATCCTGAGGAAAACAATTTTGATCAGCATCAGTTGCTTTTACTTAATTATTATTAACTTAAGAGTGCAAAATGCTGACTAGGGTTTTAAAATAAATTGTATTAATGGTGTTGCTCAGAGTAGAATAAAAGGGTGAAAGATATTAGTCTACATAATCATTTGCTTAGCAAACAGCAAGTGTGTGAAGCTGAAACTGATATAAAATAATGTGCAGAGCCATAGAAAGCAGACTGCACCATAGAGTTTAGCGACAGAGGTTACATTGTCATGTTCACACAAAAGATATCCCACTGAGTATTATTTAATTGTGAAAATAAAACATGCTTCAAAAGGTACAATGAATTTGAATGTGACAGGAGAGTTTGTATTAGCATGCAATGTAAACTCCCACAGCAGTGGGTCAGGATTTTTCAACAACATAGCAAATTGTGTTCTGTAGACACTCTTTTTCTATGTGTTTACCTGTCTACAATTTACAGAGTTTTCATAGAATGACAACATTTCTATGGATCTTAGCAACCTTCTCAGGATATTGTCTATGCCCTTGAAACTAGGTTTAAGAAGTATCAGAATTTTCACAGTCATTGCAGTTATACTCATTGTGGCCTATGGATGAAAAGAATCTAAATGTTCACTTGTTGAGGACAAGCTGGATCTCTCAGGAGGACATTGTGCTAAATGAGTGAAGACAACAGTACCAGTTAATGGATTGCACACTTACAAAGGACTCTTCGAGTCAGTGCTGTATTGGTGAGGGAACAGCATGTAATTACAGCTTAGGCAGTGTCAACCCACTTCTTTCTCCTATCTGATTTTAATCTCTAATATATTCTCATTTGTCAGATGGAGGTGAGAGGTTCAGCCTTCCTGTCTACACTGCAGGTAGCAATAGAAAACGAAGGGCAGGAAGAACACAGAATCTAGCTGAAGCAACCAACTTCAAAGGGTTTTTCTAATGTTCTTTTAGTTGGTATGTAGTGAAGAAAAATTAAATATCAAGCTGTTTGTAGCAAGAGTTGTTATAGAGATGAGATGCAAATGTGCTATTATAGTATACTGTAAAAAGGCAGAAAATTGCTTTATTTGGATGGTATGAGAGCTTTCTGCCAATGAGTCACACTGCATAAAAAAGTAAAAATGCAGTTAAGAAACAGACTGAGTGTTTTTTTTTTTCAATTTAAATAGTAACTATAAATTATAGTTTTACAAAAATGTAATAGTCTTGGACAGATAACTTATCTCTGATTGATTGTGATCAAAGTGATAACACTTGTGTTTTGGGTTTGGAGAATGTAATTAGACATTTAATATTTTTATATATCAGTTTGTGTCTGTTTAATGTATCATACAATTAATTTAGCCATGCTGTATAACATTACATAATGTATTTCTATGATCTCACTCACTATTTATTCAAACATTAGTTTTTTCATAAAGGGAAGCAAGGGTATTTTTTTGGAATTAAATGAGCAGAAACATCTAAAATTTCACAATCTAATCTTGGGAAAGATAACACAAGAAAATGACCTAGGTTTGTTTCCTGCATGGTGTATGTTTCACTTTGCTGAGAGCAAAACTTCTATGTCACAGTTCTAGACAGGGCCCAAGAATGACCTTGTCATAAGATCCTGTATGATGCTTGCCCTCTACACACATAGATAGAGAACTCTATCTGTCAAAATCTTGCTTTCTCTGTCTTTACTATTTTACTTCCTTTGTTCAGTATTGCTTCCCTTCTCCTTTGCATTTTCATTTAGGAAAAAATTGAATTAATTTTTAAATAAGTATTCTTTTGGGAATAATATTCTTCCTTCACCTTTTACCACCATAACCAATATATTTTCTGATTTTCAGACTTACATTGGACATTGTACTCATTGTCTTATATTAGAACCATTTATTAATATACTATGTCACATTAGAGTTTAATTTTTAATTTTTAGGTAATTCAGTATCCAGGATTATACAAACAAGACAAATTTTGAGAGAAAGAATCACTTGATATGAGACTTATGAGTAAGAATGGCAGCATCACATGATACCTCACAGTGCCTTGAGTTATTCAGTAGTCATTACATTCTTCATAATGTGAAGCCTAATCACCTCCACGAGAAAGCCCCATTTTCCCACTGTCACCCACACAGGCAAGCAACAGGAAATTCGGGTGAAGAAACATCTCAGGAGTGAAGAGTGCAGGAACACCAAGGAAATAATTTTGCTTAAGAAAGTGATGGGGAATGAAAAGGGAGGAAAAGTTACTCTTAATTTCTGTGAACTCGATGGGAGTAAGATGTCAGTATCTGCCTCATGCAACCTGCAGCAAGACCTGTACAGAGAACAAGATACTTGTATTATAGTTAATGAAACAATAAAGATCAATGTGTTTCCAATGGGAACAACTACAACAAACTTGAGAAGAGAGACAGAATCACCTTACACTGGTGATATTCATTCATTGAGTCATCCATTTTGTGACAAACTGATATTTATCCAACTGTAATAGCACAGAATTTCAGTTGCATTTGTAGGGTGACTTTCTTCATTATAGTGAATTTATTTGAATAAAATTTCATGGCGCACCACAAATTTCCCAGTAGCATAAAAAAGTATAGTAAAATTAAGCTTTATATCTTTTATTAAATGTTATTAAACTTTCAGTTTTTTATGAGAACAAACATGTTTGAATTCTCAAATTTGCAAAAATTTAAATTGCATGAAATACAAAGTAAGGATAACTTTTAAGGAAATTTTATAGGATCCTAAGGCAGTATCAGAGAGAAATGTTTGTTTATATGGAACTTTCAAATATGGGTATAAATAACCCTGAAACACAAAAGAATGCTTCTCTTATAGTTTATCTGTATTTGACACTTCTTAAAATCCATCTACTTCCTGGATATTTAGGTGTAAGATAAGTTGATCTACAATATTTAAGATGCT